AGGCGACCACGTCACACAGCAAGTCACAGACAGGGGATCCGATCCGACAGACTAACGTGGCGTGGCGAACCGAACGACGGCTGGTGTTGGTTGGTGGTTGCTGCTGTTGGTTTCGATCTGCATTGATCAAATGAGCAAAATTCAACACACACACAGCACTTATGCACATAAAGATGATTTTTTTATTTTCTGCGGAAACGCGCTGCGAAAGCGTTGACAATTGGTCGCAAACGTCCGTCCATCGTTACACGTATTGACAGTGGCTAAAAAGCCACCACAAATTAAACACAGCACAGCGGCGATTCGCCTTCACGGTGTTGCATATCCACATGGCCACGTGGCAGGGCGGATTTCGCCCTCATGGTGCAAGACAAGACAAGACAAGACAAGCCACGGGTGGTCACGTGAATGGAGCGAGCGGACGCTGTGGCGCATACAGTCAACAGAGTGACATCTACAAGACGATAGCGCGACCGGTACACGTCTCCACTTGATCACGAGAGCACGGCCACGGCCGCAATCACGCGCTGTGGCAAGCAGTTCAACTTTCGACTACCGTACTCAACACAGACAGCAGAACCAAACCTTCGGTCTTTCGGTAATTGGCATGCCCATGGGACAGTTGAGCAGGGTCTCTAAACGTTAGCCAGAAACGAGGAAGACAAATTCCTCACTGGCAAGCTATTAGCTGTCAAACTGGCAGTTGAGAAAGGCGGTGGCTTTCTTCAACCTTGCCAGGGGCGCCAGGCCTTTCAGCCACGATACTACATTAATGACATGTTGCCGGAAGCTCCATGACCAGGGGTCACCCATGCAGCACTAATCATGACATGTGCTTCAATCGATATCCCCTGGTCTACATTTTCTTTCCGTCGCGTGGATGACCACATGACAAGAACCTAAGTTTCGCTTCTTATTATTAGCAATAGTTTCATGTGCTAAATGAAACAATCTGTGTGATATTAAAGTACCCCAAACTGGCTGTGACTTTAGCAGGTAAGGTAACGTTAAAGCACAAACTTTTCCCTTGCTGTTTCAAGGTAAAGACGTCATGTAATGTAGTACACGAATCTTTCCCTTGCCACCTTGAATCCATTCCGTTCTGATATCATATCTGTGTATTTGCACGTCTCATCTGGTTTATGGTCAAATACACAGTTAGCAATTATTTGGTGGCAAGAACCAAACAGCATTTAACAGCAGTTTCTCCGTTTGTTCCTCATGGACTATCGATGAAGAAAAACTGACGATTCAGCTGTGTCGTTTTTATTCAAGAAGTCAAATGTAAACATTGAGGCTTGTGCAGTTCATCACTTGATCCTTAGCAATAAACATGGCAAGAAGTTAGAAGAAAAACTTTGAGCCCTCCTTGAAGACAGACGTCCCATGGTGCATTTATGGGAATGCCAATGAATAAATTGATTAGCATACAAGATGATAATTCAGTTGCTGTCATCTGTAAGGACTGTATTCTGGGCGTTAAAAGCGGCAATGAATGAATTTCGTTTCTTTTCAAAACGGCCTGTCCCCTGTTATAACAAAGAAGACATGTCTCAATCGATGGGTACCTCTTTAACGAAGAAAGATCGATGGTGTACAAATTCATTTGCGGAATACACGTGCCCTGCTAAGGAAAGGAAACAACATAGAACATGGCCCGTGGAGATCGCTTGCGTTGATCCATTCTTGATCTCTCTGTGTCACTGTGCCTCAACTCTCGCACGAAGAAGAAACACCACTCTTCTCCGTGAATCAAGCGGCGGTTTTATTCGATCGACGGTGTACTGAGGTCAGTGCGTGCATGTAGCATCCGATTGTAAGACGGCGATGTGTTGGCAGCACTTCCCTTTCTTTTCAATCGTCCGTCCATTAGTCGGCATATAACGATCAACGACGATTGACGACGACGGCGACGTGGCACAGATTTGATTCTCAGCCAGGCGTTGTTCCGGCCATCGGCCACTTCGGCCCTCGCGCTCTGCTGGGGTAATGGAGCATGTAATGGGGTGTGCCTTTTTGTGTGTGTGACTGTGCTTTCGCAGCAGATGGACGTATGAATGTGCGGCAGCAGCAGCACTGACGTCAACGAAGCTCGTCCGAAGTCTGTGTTGCAGACTTGTAACCAGCTGACTACTGCCCTGATGGCTGGCCAAAGCGAGTGACCAACTGACCACTGGTCAGTAAGCTGACCTCTCCTACGTCTTCGCTGATCACCGCATTGAAGATTTACTTGAAACACTTTCCAACAGAACAAAAACCGTTATCGTCCGTCTTCACTGATTCAACAGACACTGCGCGTGCGCATGTGTCTCAACGTTGACTGGTGCATTTCATCGGCAAGGAAAGCAAACGATCGCTCCTTCTAACGCTGCTGCGTCCCTTGCCGTTGTCGTCGTCGTCGTCGCCGTCACCAGATAATCGACGCTTTGCACGCTGTTACCCGGAAAAAGCCGAAGAGTGTCACCAGAGGCCGTCCTTGCAAATGTTGTTCTCGAAAGCGCGCGGACACTGATTGGCTAACACATAATCGCCCTACTCGCTCATTGGCGAGTGTCGGCCGAGCCTAATTCACGTGGTCTACCAACGACCAAGCACGTCCCCCATGGGCAATATTGACATTCAAAGTAAGAGCAGTGTCGTCTATCTGTTCTTTGCTATTCGCTTGGTAGATACGATCGCATTTCTCTTACTGTTGCTCAGGTAAACTTGGTTGTTGTCTGGCTAAACAATGTTTGTGTACTGATCTACGCTAATCACTCTTGGTTATACGATCATCATTTGACACATATCCAGTGGTGAAAAAAGAAACTTTCGATTTCGAAAAACGCTCCAAGGTATTTACATTCGAACTTTATGAAACGGCACTCTGTGATTTAGTGTACAAAAGCAGATCGCCTTCATGGGCGTCGATTAATGCGTCTTTTTGCTTACTGTATGCCAGTGATGTACGCCACTTTTTTGGTTTAGATGCTCTTGCATTCTGATTATGGTCACTATTCTGGATCGGCGGACCCGAGTTCGTTTACGTATGGACATTCGACGCTGGCCAACACCGGATACACCATGCAGAACCCGGCTGCTGGCATGAGTCCTTACGCATCAGCGGC